AGTAATCTCTGATGGTAGTTTGTATTTCTGTGGAATTGGTGGTGATATCCCCTTCATTGTATTTTATTGCATCTATTTGATTCTTCCCCCTTTTCTTTTTTAATTAATCTGGCTACAGGTCTATTCTGTTGATCTTTTCAAAAAACCAGCTCCTGGATTCATTGATTTTTTGAAGGGTTTTTTGTGTCTCTATTTCCTTCAGATCTGCTTTGATCATAGTTATTTCTTGTCTTCTGCTAGCTTTTGAGTTTTTTTGATCTTGCTTCCCTAACTCTTTCAATTTTGATGATAGGGTGTCAATTTTAGATCCTTTCTTGTTTCTCATGTGGGCATTTATTGCTATAAATTTCCCTCCAGACACTGCCTTAAATGTGTCCCATAGATTCTGGTATGTTGTGTCTTTGTTCTCACAGATTTTGAAGAACATTTTGATTTCTGCCTTTATTTCATTGTTTATCCATTCATCATTCAGGAGCAAGTTGTTCAGTTTCCATGTGATTGTGCAGTTTTGAGTGCTTTTCTTAATCCTGAGTTCTAATTTGATTGCACTGTGGTCTAAGAGACTGCTTGTTATGATTTCTGTTCTTTTGCATTTGTCAAGGAGTGATTTACTTTCAATTATGTGGTCAATTTTAGAGTAAGTGTGATGTGGTGCTGAGAAGAATGTGTTTGGGGTGGAGTGTTCTGTAAATGTCTATTAGGTCTGCTTGGTCCAGATCTGTGTTGAAGTCCTGGATATCCTTGGTGACATTCTGTCTCATTGATCTGTCCAGTATTGTCAGTGGAGTATTAAAGTCTCCCACTATTATTGTGTGGGAGTCTAAGTCTCTTTGTAGGTCATTAAGAACTTGCTTTATGTATCTGGGTGCTCCTATATTGGGTGTATACATATTTAGGATAGTTAGCTCTTCTTGTTGCATTGATCCTTTTACCATTATGTAATGCCCTTCTTTGTCTCTCTTGTTCTTTGTTGGTTTAATGTTTATTTTATCAGAGACTAGGATTGCTACCCCTGCCTTTTTTTTGTTCCCAATTTGCTTGGCAGATCTTCTTCCATCCCTTTATTTTGAGTCTATGTGAGTCTTTGCACATGTGATGGGTTTCCTGAATACAGCACACCATTGGTTCTTGACTTTCATCCAGCTAACCAGTCTGTGTCTTTTGATTGGGGCATTTAGGCCATTTACGTTCAATGTTAATATTGTTATGTTTGAATTTGATCCTGCCATTTTGTTACTGGCTGGTTGTTTTGCCTGTTAGTTGATGTGGTTTCTTCATTGCGTCATTGTTCTTTACCATTCAGTACATTTTTGTAGTGGCTGGTACTGGTTGTTCCTTTCCATGTTTAGTACTTCCTTCAGGGGTTCTTGTAAGGCAGGTCTTGTAGTGATGAAATCTCTCAGCAGTTGCTTGTCTGTAAAGGATTCTATTTCTCCTTCACTTATGAAGCTTAGTTTGGCCAGATATGAAATTCTGGGTTGAAAGCTCTTTTCTTTAAGGATGTTGAATATTGGCCCCCACTCCCTTCTAGCTTGTAGGGTTTCTGCTGAGAGATCCGCTGTGAGTCTGATGGTCTTTCCTTTGTGGGTAACTCGACCTTTCTGTCTGGCTACCCTTAAGATTTTTTCCTTCATTTCAACCCTAGTGAATTTGACTGTTATGTGCCTTGGGGTTGCTCTTCTTGAGGAATATCTTTGTGGTGTTCTATGTATTTCCTGGATTTGAATGTTGGCCTGCCTTGTTAGGTTGGGAAAGTTCTCTTGGATAATATCCTGAAGAGTGTTTTCCAGCTTGGATTCATTCTCCCCGTCACATTCAGGTACGCCGATCAAGAATAGATTAGGTCTCTTCACATAATCCCATAGTTCTTGGAGGATTTGTTCATTTCTTTTCACTCTTTTTTCTCTAATCTTGCCTTCTCATTTTATTTCATTGATTTGATCTTCTATCTCTGATATCCTTTCTTCTGCTTGATCGATTTGGCTGTTGAAACTTGTGCATGCCTCATAAAGTTCTTGTGCTGTTTTTCAGCTCTGTCAAGTCATTTATGTTCTTCTCTAAGCTGGTTATTCTAGTTAGCATTTCCTCAAACCTTTTTTCAAGGTTCTTCGTTTCTTTGCATTGGGTTAGAACATGGTCTTTTAACTCAGAGAAGTTTGTTATTATCCACCTTCTGAAGCTGGCTTCTGTCAATTTGTCACCTCATTTTGTCTTGTTTTGTTCCCTTGATGGTGAGAAGGTGTGATCCCTGGGAGGGGAAGACGTTTTCTGGTCTTTGAAGGTTTCATCCTTTCTGCACTGTTTTTTCCCCATCTTCATGGATTTATCTCCCTTTGATCTTTGAAGTTGGTGATTTCAGGAGAAATCTCTGAATGGATGTCCTTTCTGTTGCGGTTGGAACTACATCTTTTTTGGCCTGTAGAGGCGCTGCTGGGTTGCCTCGGATTCAGTCAGGTTGCTGGGTGGGTGGTCCTTCCCTGGGGTGAAGGTGAAATTAGACACCCCCTTCCCAGTGGCATCTCTCCTTCCCTGAGCTCGATCTTCCTGGTTGGGGTCAAACTGGTGTACTGGCTGCCAAGCTCTCTGGCACACGGGCTTCAGTTTGAGTTTTGTGGGGGGTGGGACCTGCCAGGCCTTATGACCTGTTTCCCTGCTTTCAACTCTGCCTCTTTCTGTGGGACGGGTTGTTCCGTCCCACTGGTACTAGTCCAAATTTCCGCCCAGGTCCGGTGGACAACTTGTGGCAGCAGGCGGAAGCCGTGGCTCAGATTTGCATCCACAACCCACCATGCCCCTCAGTCTGGCAGGGCTCTCGTTGACCGTGGGTTGCAGGAGGGATGAGGTAAGCACGGGATCCGAATTGGAGCACTGAGGGGGTGAAGTCCCCCGACCCTCCAAGCTGGCTGCACGTTCCAGGTGGGGACATGCCCATCCTGTCTTGGTTCATTCTCTCTGGGCGGCTCTCGCCCTGCTTTGGCTCCTTCCCTGAGCTACTGTCAGAATCCTCCCAGTCCCCCCAAAACAAACCTGGCACCTCACTTGGAATCATGAAGTCCTCTAGCCCTCTGCATCTCATTTGCTGGGAGCTGCATTCTGGTGTTGCCTCCTCTTGGCCATCTTGGTGCCGCCCCAATTTTTTTTTTTTTTTTTTTTTTTTTAAACAGGGTCTCACTCTGTCACCCAGGCTAGAGTGCAATGGCACAATCAGAGCTCATTGTATCCTCTACCTTCTGAGCTCAGGTGATCCTCCCACTTCAGCCTCCTGAGTAGCTGGGACTACAAGTGTGTGCCATTGTGCTTGGCTAATTTTTGTTTTTTCATTTGTAGATACAGGGTTTTGCTATGTTGCCCAGGCTGGTCTTGAACTCCTGGGCTCCAGCAATCTGCCCGCCTTGGCCTCCCACAGTGTTGGGATTTCTGGTGTGAGCCACTGCACCTGGCCTGACTTTAAAAGCTCTTCATGTGTTTTCCAAAAAGGTTGTATGGTTGGAAAAGTCATCAAAATTGAGGAGATGTGAAGAACCACAGAAAAAGAGAAATTATTTTGCTCAACTTTTTCAAAACAATAACGCTCTTTTTGGTCAGTAGAAATGACTACAATTTTTAGAAATTAAAGGTCCTCTGCATCATCACTAAGTAAACACAGTGAACGACGATTTAGAGATGATTGGTTTGAAGGGGAATTACATTCACTGGCATGGAATGTTGGCATGTTTGGGTGGGCACTATTGTAATCACTGCTGATAAGTCTCAAAAGAGCACTAAAGAACACCTAATTCAGAAACTACAGTGTTAAGACAGGACCTAGAGCTTATCTTTCCAGGATGGGCACAAATCCTTGAGGTCCCTGCTCCTTCCAAGCTCAGAACACCACAATATGATAGAAATAAGGGGTTTCTCTTTTGATTTAATAAAGGGAAATCTTCTGCTCTGCCCCACTTACTGGAAGTATTGTGCTCCACTGGTTTAAGGTGAGGATCAGAGACTCTCGTGAAGTAAGTAACCTAAAGAAGGAGGTGAAGAGTCTCCACAGCTGACCATTTAGTCTGTCTAAGTCAAGCCAGGTTAAGTAGCTGGCAGGAAATTGCTTAGCTCAATCCTACTTTTAAACATATTAATGTCCTTATCCATTAAAAAAGAAACACCCCACCACCACCATGTACACCTTGGTAAAAACACATGGCAAACATACTATGTGAGTAACTAAATTAAAATGCAGTTCCACTACTGTAAGTTAGTTGGCTAAACTGGAAATAAATTAGGTTTCACATAAGGGAGATAATAAACTTCAGAATCTCAAGACCCTTGAACCAGCGCTTCAGACAATTCCTAAGTACAATGCTCTTTAATGTTCCCTGCCTCAACTTTCTTTTTGGTTAGAAATTTAGTATTGAGTATTAAAGTTGTTTTAAAATAAACTTTCCTTATTCGGTCAGTTTTATCACACTTAAATGGAGATATTTACATATTTAGATAAATATATCAGCATCTTGGAATTATAAAAGACTTAATTATTACTTTACTTCTTTATTTTACGGATAATAAAACAGAAGTTCTAAGAGGTTATATGACTTAAGTGGCTGAGCTGGGACGACGCTTCAGATTTCCAGCCTCACTCCTGGGCCTGTGCTTCTGCCATTTCTCCACTTTTGATGCTGAATTAAAATTCTCAGCAGATTTTTTAGGTCAATAAATATTTGTGAAGTCTCCTAAGGTTAAAGCTCTGAACCAGGTGTTAAGGATGCAGGTGTGTGGCTTTAAAAAGCTGAGTAGTAAAACTCAGACTACAAACATAAATGAGGGAAAAGCAGTCTGTTACTGATACAATTTAAAATGCAAGCAGGGTTTTGTTTTGATGTATGTAAATCTCGTTTTCCTTTTTTCATTCCACCTCAGCACTTTAATAGTAGATCTAAATGCAGTAAAATATAAAAAGACGGGAAAGAGGGAACAGCTACTCAGCTTTTTAAAGTTTTCTGTCTAAACCAAAGCTAACTTACCTCTACGTCTGTTTGAAAGTTAAAAAGATCTATTCTTTGCCAGTTGCTTCCATCCAGGGCTAAGATGTTCCAAGCCTGGAAGGTGGGAAGTAAAGGAAGAGGGATTGGGGTGAAAGAAACACATTTATTGAGACTATTAAAGAAAGCTTTCATTAACCTTTATTTTCAAACTTTTGTTTCTGATGTATATCAAGTTAATCAACAAATGCAATCTTATACCATTGTGTTATATTAAGTATAAAAGATAATAAAGTTTTAATTTTCAGTAATTTGAACTAAAACTCATTCTAATAAAACTTGACATTTATTGATTAAAAATCTGGTGAATACTCTACCTTGGAAATCTGTGCACATCGGCACAAAGTTACTATATCCAAGAAGGAAAATATTCTATAGAGAGAGGAAAAAAACACAAATACGAGATGGTGTTAACATTTCAGGGTAATTATAACTTGAAAGATAAAATCTAATGTGCCACCTGGATACGTAAGTTTTTTCAAGATTCCTCAATCTGCAATATACAAGTGCACTATAATTTTATATCACTACAGTGAAATATTAAATGTTTGCATGTTAAGAAGTTTTGGACACACTGTACAAATTACCTTAGAAATCATTAAGCTTGTATTTCCATTGTTCTAAGAAATGGACACGAGAAAGACCATAACTGGTTCTATTTGAAGACCAACTCTCTAGCAGAATGAGCCCTTTTTTGGTGGCAGATGCACTAAACAGGCTTAGATTCCCGAGCCTCAAATAACATTGTCAAAAAAAGCTTGATGACAAAGCCCATTTGGTTTGAAGTATTTGTTCCTCTGGCAGAAAGATGGAGCTCATTAGTTGGCAAAATCTGTAAGTGACCAGTTTTTCCTAGCCAAAAGCCAATGAGCCACAGAACACAGGAAAGATGGGGGGGTGGGGGAAGAAAAGCAGACAGAAGCAAACAAAATCTTAGTTGGCATTGGTAATGCCTTACAGGGAGCAGTAGCTGCCAGCTTGGCAGGGGACAGAGTGAAGCCTTAACATTCTGGCAGTCAAGGAGAGGAGCTGCTACTGACAGCATGTGAGCAAACAGCTGTGTGCGCCTCAGTACTGCAGAGTGACAGCCAAGAACAGAGGTCAGCTTTTCTGTGAAAGAAGGGTGGACAGGGTTGAAGTCAGGAACAAGAACCCTCAATTCTGAGGGTCCTGGAAAGTAAATATGAGAGTCTGTGCCTCTGAGTGTGGAAGGGGGAGAGTGGGAAGATGGCAAACAGCCACCTATAATGTTCCTCAAAATTCTTCAAAGGTAACAATCAGTGGTGTGATAAAAATCCATGGGCTCAGGGAAGGAGAGTAGAATCATAAAACATCAGAGTGTTGTACCCTACAATAACACACCCGCAGCCAGGTGTGATGGCTCAGTCCTAGCACTTTGGGAGGCTGAGGTGGGTGGATCACCTGAGGTCAGGAGTTCAAGACCAGCCTGGCCATCACGGTGAAACCCCATCTTTAGAAAAAAAAGAACACACCCACATGCAGTTCCATGGGATAATGACTGCACAGATGCCATCCTACAGTATAGACTACAGTCATTTTCTAGTGAAAAGCAAAGGACAGAAGCATAATAAGGGCTACATTGACTTTTAAAGATTCTGGCTGGGCACAGTGGCTCACACCTATATTCCCAGCACTTTGGGAGGCTGAGGCAGGAGGATCACGAGGTCAGGAGTTTGAGACCAGCCTGACCAACATAATGAAACCCAGTCTCTACTAAAAATACAAAAATTAGCCAGGTGTAGTGGCAGGCACCTGTAATCCCAGCTACTCAGGAGGCTGAGGCAGGAGAAGCACTTGAACCGGGAGGTGGAGGTTGCAGTGAGCTAAGATTGCGCCACTGCACTCCAACCTGGGTGACAGAGCAAGACTCCACCTCAAAAAAAAAAAAGGTTCAGTGGATCTTAGCACATAGAAAAATGCTGGTGGTGGCTAAAATATGAGTACTTAAACGTATATACAGCTAGTGCTCGACTTACGACCATGGTCGGGACCGCGGACTGGTTGTAACACGATTTGGTCGCAAGTTGAGTAGGCTATATGTACAGTTGAAATGGTGCACACGGAGATGGTAGTGCTGCCGGAAGCTGGTCCGCACTGTCGTACGCCCAGCTGGGCAACGTCTGCGCTGCCAGACGCGGAGCAGTCGTGGCTAGCGATTGTGGTCGTAAAGTCGAATGGTCGTTAAGTTGCATAGGTGGTAAGTCGATCAATACCTGGTATTCAATGTACTTCAGGGTATCTACACATCTACAGTGCCCAACTCAAAGGCTCTCCTGCCCGTAAGAGCTGTATCCTATGACATAGGACCATCCCACAGCTAGCCATATCTGATTGTCAGCTCCCTACGGGAAACAAGCACCAGACAGAGAAACTGCCTGGTACAGTAGAATCAGATTTCATGCAGGGATTGGGTTCTAAAAGCATAAGTCAAAGGTAAAAAAAAGAGTTAGCTGTTTCCCTTGCAAATCCCCTAAGAGTATACCACCTTTATCACATCTCAGTACTAATAATACTGGCGATAACAAAAACAGTTAACATTGATTATGCACTATGTGCCAGCCATGGTTTACATGCTAGTCATTTGATTGGCACAACACTGCTATGAGGTGTTGTGCTATTACTATCTTCATTTTACAGGTAAGGACACTGAGCATAGAGGTTAAGTAACCTGCCCAGGGCACACTGATAGCAAAGGTAGAACTAGAAATTGAACCCAGGTAGTGTGGCTCAAGAGCACAAGCCCATGACCATTACATATACTGCTTTGGAAAGTTTAACACAGCTGTTTTTCCCTCAGAATTGGACTAGATGCCAAGAAAGAAAAGAAACTTTTAATCTAAGGGATGTGAGCCGCTATGTGGGCTCTAGAGTGACTGACACAAGTAGCTATAAAGTAACCCAACAATGCCATACACTGGTCGCCATAACTCCTACCCCATAGTTCAGCAATGTACAGCCAATCACTCATCAATGTTACTCTGGAAACCAATGAGAGTTCCCAAAAAACAACTTTTGTAATCGCCCCCTCTCCTGATTCAGTCTCAACCTTGAGATAAACTCTCCAGCTTAATTTTGCCTCAGTTTCCTTATTTAGGTCAACAGTGCTTTTTTTTTTTTTTTTTGGGATGGAGTTTCGCTCTTGTTGCCCAGGCTGGAGTGCAATGGTGCAATCTCGGCTCACCGCAACCTCCACCTCCCAGCTTCAAGCAATTTTCCTGCCTCAGCCTCCCAACTAACTGGGATTATAGGCATGTACCACCATGCCCAGCTAATTTTGTATTTTTAGTAGAGATGGGGTATTTTCCATGTTGGTCACAAACTCCCGACCTCAGGTGATCCACCTGCCTTGGCCTCCCAAAGTGCTGGGATTACAGGTGTGAGCCACCACACCCAGCCTACAATGTTATTTCTTAACTGATAACAGATGAAGTAGTTTTCATTTAGTGAGTATGCTGTTTGGAAAAAACTGGATTCATGCTTCACTCACAAATGAAGCAAGATGTTCACACATTGTGACACACATGAACCAACAGGTGGAACAGGAATTCACATTTTTCATCTCATGCTTACTACCTAGTTTTATGGTTACTGAATGAAAAAATAGATTGCCTAAAGTATTTACATTATTTCCCCTCTCACCAACCTTTTCCACTGAAAGTAGTTGAATTTGCACAAATAGGCGTGGCAATACTCCAAACTACCACACTGACTCCAAAGCCAATTCCTGACTTACGTTTCAATGAATAAAAGTAATGCACTGAATTACACAGCCTGGGATACTGGCAATAGAAACGCAGATAGCTACACGAGTGGCAAACTGAGTCCAATCCCTCCAAAACATTCTTTCCTGGAAAGTGCTCCCTATCTCAAATGTGATAACCTCAACTTTATGAGGCAAGCGCTACAATAGCACGCTGGTTAGAAATATACACAGGGGAGCAAAGGGTTGGATGTACTTTTGGACTCTGTATTGTGCTCCATTAGTCTGTCTGTCTTTGTGCGAGTAAGGCTGTTTTAATTATGAAGCTTCAATAATAAGTCAAAAAGTCTGGTACTGTAAGACTTTCAACTTTGTTCTTCTCCATCAAGATTATCTTAGTTATTCTTGATACTCGGAATTTTCAATTAAGTTTCAGAATCAGCATATCAATTTCCACAAGAAAATTTTCTGAAATTTTTACTGGGATTGCATTCAATTTAGAGAAAATTTGGGAAAAATTGAGATTTTTACCGTATTAAATCTTCCAATCCAGAAACAAGATCCATTCCAAAATTTATTTAGGACTTCTTTAATTTCTCACAGTAATTGTTATAGTTTTCCACATAGATACCTTGCTCATCTTTAGATTTTTTTCCCTGGTTATTTAATGTTCTTATTATTAAAATGGAATATTTTGGGGTGGGCATGGTGGCTCATGCCTATAATCCCAGAACTTTGGAAGGCTGAGGCAGGAGGATCACCTGGGCCCAGGAATTCAAGACTAGCATAAGCAACATGGTAAAACCCCATTGCTACAAAAAAATATATAATAATTAGCCGCATGTGGTGGTGAATGCCCATAGTCCCAGCTACTCAGGAGGCTGAGGTGGTAGGATCAACAGAGCATGGGAAGGTCAAGGCTGCAGTGAACTGTGAACCTGGGTGACAGAGTGAGACCCTGTCTCAAAAAAAAAAAAAGGGGGGGGGAGGAATATTTTTAATGTCATTCTTTAATTGTTGCTACTTTATAATGTTACTTTTCATATACTGACCTCGTACCCAACCATATTTCTAAGTTTGGTTATTCATTCTGATTTATTTTCCTGAGACGGAGTCTTGCTCTGTTTCTACATAAAACATTAATTCACTATTAAATAATGAATCAACTTTCCTCCTTTCCAATAATTATACTTTCTATTTCTTTTGCTTATTACACTGGCTATGAGCTTCTCTAGTATAGTGATAAACAGAACTGGTAATGAAATATATCTTTGTCACATTCTCATCTCAGAGAAAAAGCTGCCACTATTCAATTATTATGATGTTTACTATATGTTTTCTTTTCTGGCCTTTCAATTATTTTCTAATTCCTTTGTTACATCATGTAAAATATTTCCATTTTTTTGCACATGGATGATTTTGACACCTCTCACATTTATCTCTTTAAAATTTTTATTTAAAATAAGAGCAAGTAGTGCAGAGAGTTACCATATACACACCTGCCAATAAACACACGTAGTTCCCCCTATTATTAACATGTTGTTTTAGTGCGGTACATTTGATGTTAGCTGTAGGTCTTGTGTAGATGTTCTTTATCAAGTCAGGAAGTTCCTCTCTATTCCTAGTCGGACGAGTATTTTTATCATGAATG